ACACACACACACACACACACACACACACACACACACACACCTATCCCCCAGGGGCGGCACAGGTGTGTTTCCTTGGTCTCGGCAAGTGATGCAAAGATGAGAAAGCCCACAGGCTTTTCAGAACCAGGTCCACCCCAGGCAGGGACCAGTTTCCTATTCTGGCTCCCGTCCCCTGTCCCTTTTCCCCCCAGACCTCTTTGGGATTCCTTTGAGGGTCTCAAAGTCTCACTTGAAACCGGGGAAACTGAGGCTTCCTGAGTTGTTTCTTGTGTCTTTGGGGCCACAGACATGAGCACCTTCTGGAACCCTCTCCCTCTGACCAAAGCCAGCCAGCCCTAGGAGGAAGAAGGTGGAGGCGGGGCAGCCCTCACCTCAAGCCAGGAGGCCCAGGAGGCCACCCTGCAGGTAATGTAATGGCCGGAGCCCTGTCCCACAGATTCATCACGCCAGAACCCCCATCCATGGCCATGCCACAGCCTCTCCGCCTGGGCCACCAGGCTGGGTCCGCAACAAAGCCCACCCTGCTGTGCTAGCTCAGGGTGGCATGGCCCACGTGAGCCCACATCCCCGTGGCTGTGAGTGTGCCGGTGTCGTCACTGGTTAGTCCTTGTTCTCAGGGGCCTTGGGCCAGGTGGTGGCTGGGCGCCAAGTTGCTGGACCACTGCTGCCTGGAGAGCAGTATTCTGGGTGAGCACCCTGCCCATGCCTCCCACCCTAAGGTTAGCTCACCTAAGACCCACACTCCCTGCGCCAGAGGGTCCCCGATGGAGATGATTCAGCCTCCCGTGGGCCCCTCACGAGTCCCTCTGCAGATCTGGCTCAGGTCCTTCCTGCTGCAGTCTCCACCTACTTTCATTTTTCTGTTTGTTTGTTTTTTGAGACAGGGTCTCACTATGTAGTTGAGACTGCCCTGGAACTCACTATGTAGCCCAGGCTGGTCTCAAACTCACAGCGATCCTCCTGCCTCAGCCTCCCGAGTGCTGGGATTACAGGTGTGCTCCCCCACGCCTGGCTTCCACCTACTTTCTTCCCACCCTGTCTCATGTGTAGGGTGGGACTCCAGGCTCCCTTCCGTGTAACAGCTGACAACCAGAAGCCCTTTCCCCATGAACTTCAGCGTGTGGTGACCCACATTTGTAATCCCAGCACTTGGGAGGCTGAGGCATGATCACCATGAGTTCGAGGCCAGCCTGGGCTGTATTATGAGGCTCTGTCTCAAAAACAAAAGTCTGAGAAAGAGCAGAGGATTATCTCTTACGGGGCAGTGGGCACCAGGTCCCTAAGGTCCTCTGAGGGCTCCCCTCCCCATCAGGAGGTATTCCTGGAACTTGGGGGGACGGCTGAAAGTTAAGGTTAGGGTTGGGCTAAGGGTTAGGGTTATGGTTAAGTCTGTGTTAGTGCTGGGTTTAGGTCTATGGTTAGGATAGGTCTAGGGCTAGGTTTAATGTTAACATTAGATCAGTTTTAGGGTTAGTGATAGGGAATAGATTTAGTGCCAAGGTTAGGGCTAGACTAGGGCTATGGTTTGGTTAGGATTAGGGTGCCCTTTCAAGGACGGCAGCAGAATCACTGAGCTAAATCCCCGGCCCTCTTTTCAGAGTTTTGTTTTGAGACAAATGTCTTGCTAAGTCATTACATTGCCCAGCTGGGCTTGAACTTTCATTCTCTTGCCTTACCTTCTCAGAGCACTGACATTACAGGCCTGCACCACGGTGCCCCACTAAATATACTTTTAATGCATAAAATGTGGCATTTTACAAAAATGATAAGCAAATTAGAAAAATTTTAACACTGACTATTTGATGGTATTAAAGTATTAATGTTGATTTTTTGGAGTGATAATGGTACCGTGGCTACATTTTTTTTAATTCTTAGCTTTTAGAGTAAGCAACTGTTTCATGGATTGTCTTAGTCTGTTTTCTGTGGCTATAACAAAATACAGTATCTGGGATGGGTACTTTAGAAGGAAATTCTTATTTAGCTCACAGCTTTGGAGGCTGAAAGTGCAAATCCAGAAGCTCTGATGTGGGCCTCTCTGGCCACGTCACAGCCCAGCAGGGAGCAGGGAGCAAAACAGCCACATGCAGAAAAGGGCCATGCACGTGGGTGTCTTTGCTTTATTACAACACACTCTGGTGAGAACTCGCCAGGGCCTGTCGTGAGCTACATTAACCTGCTGCCACCAGCAATGGCCCTGTAACCTAATTACCTGCCTTATGCTCCATTTCCTAATGTTCTAGCAGCTCTCTTCCTGCCACACAGAGGACTAAGTTCCCAGCACATGAACCTTTGGGGAACACTCCAACATAACCAAACCATGGTTCAGACAGTGATGATATATCTGGGACTGCCTCAAAATAATCCAGGACACATATTAGCATCAAAAATTAAATACAAAAGCTATTGTTTCAGAATTTGGATGCTTTTAAAATGAGAATTAAAATATTCCCAAGATGAGTAAAGAGGATAAAAGTGTTATGTCTAATAATGCTCACTTATTTAATCATGTACTGACTCCAGTGAATTACACACCCACATCTAGCTGCCAGACACACTATTTCTGAGGTTGCCATCTGTTGCCTGTACAAGTTGCCCAATTCCATACGTGATGTTACTCACAGTCATCAGGGAAGACTGTATTTTGGTTATTTAAAATGACTACCATCTCTGCCTTCTAAGAATATGCAGAGACAAACCAGGAATCCAGCTTTGTGCCCACCCAAACTCAGTTTTGCTGTTACCCCATCGGACATGCCTTTTTGCTACCTGACGTTTGTGGGGATTTTTGTTTGTTTGTTTTGAGACAGGGTCTCTCTATGTAGGCCAGGCTGGCCTTGAACTCACAGGATTCTCCTCCTTTGGCCTCCCGAATGCTGGGATTACAGGTGTACACCACCATGCCTGGCTACCTTACCTTCTTGAGTAGTCCAGTAAATGCTGGTTTTAGGTCTTCCTGTTTCTTTCCCTTCCTTTTTATTTTCACTTTTCTTTTCTTTCTTTCCTTGCTTCCTTCCATTAAAGTATGAATGTTGCTTTTTTTAGGTATTATAATAATACTGTGGTGAAATTTTTTAAATTCCCTTTTCCCTCCCTCTTTCCTCCCCCCCTCCTTCCTCCTGCTGGGGTTCAGACTAGGTCTTTGAGGGTGCTAAACACAAGCTCTGCCTCTGAGCTCTGTCCCCAACCCCTCCCATTCTGTCCCATTCCTTGTACCTTTGGTCTTCCTCTCTCCAGCATACACAAATGTATACTTCATTTCCAAAACAGTTTTTATTCTTTTTTTTTTTGTATTTACTCTGAATCCAATAGCATTGCTGCACACAAAAATCTTTCCTAAATTCTAGTACGAAAAAGAGAAAAACAAAACGCTGTAAATGACTGCAAACTGAACATATCAAGTAATATGTATCCTGTGACCACAAAGATGACACAACCTATAAAACAGAGAGAGAGAGAGAGATCAGTATGCAGTGTGTCATATAATAAAGGATTGCTTAGGTGCTACTTTTGTTTTATGAACATAAAACTTTTAAAAAGGAAATATTTACTTATTAAGCAACCTTCAGGGCAGGTACTCTGACCCTATTTTACACGTGTCTGGTGTACTATACACTGTCATTTGCTCCTTTGCATTTTATTTCCTCACTCTCCTGCTCTGTGAAAGGTGGGTCTTGATTTCTCTTTGCTGAGCAGTCCCCTCAGAAGAAGAACTTGTGGAGATCACCAAGTGGAGTGCTTTGGCTCCCTTGCCCCAGGGCTGTAAATTTTGATTGGCTTGGGTGCTCTCCAGACAGAAGCACCCCTGGGCATTCTCCTAACAACTCTTCCCACCGTGTTGGCTACAAACAGTGACTCTGCACCCACCCGAGAGCTCTTTGGCCTAAACCCCAGTCATTGCAGCTCGGTCTCACTCAGGAGACAAGCTGAGTCTGTGTTTCGCTGTCTTGTGAGATCATCCTCATAAACATCCTCATAAACTCACCTTTAGACCAGCAAAACATTTACAAGTACAAGAGTCCTGCCAACCTCTACCTTGCTCAGGAGTGTGCTGCCTTGTAAGGGACATTACGGGATATAGGAAGACAAGGGCAGCACCAAGAGCACAGACACCGTTTTTCTTCAGCATGTCCACGTGGGATTTTTCTCGGATGTTGTGGGAGGCACACAGGCCCCCTGTGGGAAGAGTCTTCCAGCACTGTAAAGCACGTGTTCACATCTAGCAATAAATGCTAATACTAAAGAAGTTCACTTTCCGGGTGCTCTGCTCCAAAGCACTTGTGTCCAAGGCAAGCACAGGTGTCTGTGGGAAGCCGCTACAATACAGGAGGCAAGGGGAGGTGGAGCTTGAGGGTTGGAGTATGGGTAGGAGAGGAAGAGGGGTCTTCAAGGTGCTCAGCCATGGTGGTTTCCGCAAAGAGTAAAAAATTATCTAAGGGGAAAAATAAGAAATATTTGCACCATCATCCAGCCCAAGTGTGTCCTTGGTCATTAGTGGGCATGGTAGTCAGCTTCCTATCACTGTAACAAAATACCTGAGAAATAAACTTACAAAGACAGAAAGGTTAAGCTGCATGTGGTGATGGACACCTGTAATCCCAGCCACTTGGGAGGCTGAGGCGTGAGGTTCACAAGTTCAAGTCCAATCTGGACAACTTAATGAGACTGTCTCAAAATAAAAAGGAAGGAAAGAAAGAGAGAGAGAGAGAGAGAAAGGAAGAGAAAAGAAAAGAAAAGATGGGCAGGCTGGGGGTAAAACTCAGCAGTAAAGCACTTACCTAGTGTGTATCAGCCCTTAGGTTCAATTCCCTATATGGGGCAGAAGGAGGGAGAGAGAGAATGGAAGGAAAAAAGAAAGGAAAACGTTTATTTTGGCTCACAATCCTGGCGGTTCCAGGCCATGACTGGTGAGCCTCGCAGCTTTTGGGCCTGCGGTGAGGCAGCACGTCATGATCAGAACCCGTGGTGCAACAAATCCACAGTATCACAAGCCAGGAGTAAAGAAAAAGCAGGGGTGGGCCGGGAATTTAGCTCAGTGGTTCTGCCGCCTGCCTGCAAGCACAAGGTCTTGGGTTTCCTCACCCAGTTGGTTAGTATTAGGATATCTTTTTTGTTCAGTTACATTTTTTTGGTCCAATTATGTTTTGACATGGTTGTTCGTGTTTCAGTTATGCCCATGTAATAAAATTTCTATAAAAATGTAAAAGGATAAGCCGGGCATGGTGGCGCATGCCTGTAATCCCAGCACTCGGGAGGCTGAGGCAGGAGGATCGCTGTGAGTTCGAGATCAGCCTGGGCTACATAGTGAGTTCCAGGTCAGTCTCAACTGCATAGTGAGACCTTGTCTAAAAAAAAAAGAAAGAGAGAGATAAAGCAGGGGAAGGGTGTGCCGCCATCCCCTTCCAGGCCCACCCCAGCGATCAAACTTCCTCCAGCCGCCCCACCTCTGCATTCCCAGCAGCACCGAGAGGAGGACAGAGGCTGTAACACGCAGTCCGGATCCAAACCGTAGCAACGGGCAGAGCGAGTTCCAGATGCCTGTGGGGACTGCCCTTCTCCTGGGCTCACACAACTCTACCTGACCGGCTTCCCGAAAATGCCTAAAAGAGCCACTGTCACCTGGAAACCTAAACTACTCAAATTAGACTGCAAGGGCTACCTGATTCGGACAATTAAGGATCGGAATAATGGGACTGGACTCTTGGATTGTGAATGCCAGTTTGATTAGATAGGGCCGAGGGACCTTGACACAGCGGCGGAATAAAGGACCAACGCTGGGCCCAGCTGGCCCTTGCGACTTCCTGGGCTTGGTGTTGCTTTCTGGAGAAGGGGTGTTACCGCTGCTGGGCAGAGTCCTCACCTCGGGTTACAAGGCCGGGTCCCCCACACCCCCGCTCTGGAGGAGTGGGGCAGGTAGCTGGGGCAAAGTCCTGGAATGGTGATCATGGTTGTGAAAGTGTGTACTCATCTCAGATGACAAGGGTGGCAGTTTTGTCTGTTCTTACGACCGGCTCCTGAGAACGGGACCGGAGGATCTCACCCATTTCTCTAGCGACCCTAAGCCTTCCTGGTTGTATATTTTCCATTCATATTTTTGACTGGATTCTCCACATTCACCGTGGAGGTAGAAAGATCCTTTTGGGTCACTTATCTGAATTATATTCCTGCATTAAGTTAAACTGCTCCCCTCAAGGCCTTGTTCACACCCCAATCCCACTTGCCCTTTCTTTAGTCTATTCAACCCCAGATGGGTGTCCGAGCCCGAGATGGTGCATTTCCTACAAAAGACCACAAGATGGCGTGACGGGTCAAGAGGCAGTAGGAAGAGGCCTGGCTTCTTGCAGGTTATCCGGGTAATAGGCACACCTTTACCTGGCTGGATCCGGTTCACTCATCAAGGTCTTCATCCGTTCAACATTTTCCGAATGCTACCAGGAGCCAGGAAACGGACAGTGACCACGATCAGCATGGGTGTAGTACCTACCTAACCAATTGGCAAGACTTTGTCCCAGCTGTGGGTCCCCAGGGTGGTGACGGACAGGTGGGAAAGATGAGGTCCTGAGGAATGGGAGGGAGAGGGCTGCAGGTGAGGGGAGCTGAGCCAAGGCAAAAGGATGGTGGGGAGCTGGGGGTGAGCCGCTCGCGGGCCTCAGCGTCTGCATCTGTAAAATGGGCCAGCTGTCCTTGGCTGGGAAGCACCTCCGCAATGGTCCCTATGGCTGAAGCACAGCCTGCCCCAGTACAACAGTACAGGTGCCCACTTCTCCTGGGCACACAAGCTTTCGCCCTCCTCTGGCATAAGGAAGAGCATCTAGGCCAGGCTGCAAGGGGCAAAGAGGCAGAGACCTTGAGATGGAGGCACCTGTGTTTTGATCCCAGCTTAAATCAGCCCTTTCAGTGGCCTTGGACAAGTACTTAACCCTCTGGCCTCCTGTTTCCCCTATGCAAGACTCGGTCAATGATACCTGCTTCTGTTTGGGAAGATTCAGGGCCAGGAGGCCTGGGTTCAAGTTCTGGCTCAGCTGCCTCCTACCTGCGTGTCCCTGGAAAGTCACGGAATCTCATGAGTCCAAGTGTGAGCCCTTATGTGGGGATATACGGTATTGCAGAATTAATGACAACTGTAATGAGGTGATGTTTTTAATCCAGGTCCTAGAACACAATAGGACTTAGTTATTGTTACATTTCCCCACTTACCTCTCATAATACTTGCTACAGCAAGTATAATATAGCAGCAGAGTCTGTCTTGTATTGCTTAGGAATATTATATGTACTGGCCTTGTTTCCACAACAAGATTTTAAACTTCATGAGGTCACGGATTGCACTGGCTAGCACCATCCCCAGCACGCAGTGAGCAAAGAATAAACAAATCTCCATGCCAAACACAAAAGAGTTAAATACACAGACTTTTGCTCTTTCATTGATCCAGCCAAAATGGGAGGAGCTACTGTGTTCAGGCTTAGAGACTCTGGAACTTCTTGGGATTTAAACTTTCTGTATATTGCTCTCTATATGCAATGCTCCTAGGATTAGAGTGGCCCCATGACTACTTATAACAATAAGAGCTGAACTTTATTGGCAATTTACTGTGTGCCAATACGCTTTATATGCATTACTTTAATCATCATAACAACTTCAGGAAGTGATATATCCTTATTCCCACTTTACAGGTAAGGAAACTGAGACTCAGGGAGATTAAGTAATGAGCAGAGGTTCACATAACTAGGAAGAAGAGAGCTGGGAATTTTTTTTTTTTTTTTTTTTTTTTTTTTTTGTACTGGGGATCGAACTTGGGTCCTTGTGCTTGCAAGGTAGGCGGTAAGAACCACTGAGCTAAATCCCTGGCAGAGAACTGGGATTTAACTCCAGGTCTTGCTGCTACTAGGACTCTTTCCCACAACCCCTGTCCTATTCCACTTTCCGAAAAAATGCCATACTTTCAAACTTCAGAGTGCTGGCACATAATAGGCACTCAATAAAGCATAGCTCTCTTCCTTCAGCCAAAGGGAGTCTAGCTGAAACAGGAACCTGTGCAGATGAGTCAGGTGGGCATATGGCTGTATCCCTTCCCTGAGGTGTTACACTACCCAGGACTGCTCATCTGCTCTAGAAATGCCTCAGACACTGGGAAATTTTCTGAAAGAAGGCTTTGTCTGAGGCAAGATGTGAGAAAGACAACTACACGAGCATGCGATGGTATCACCCTGAGGCTTGACGTTCCCAGGGAGGGATTCAGGAGGGCAAGGAGAATGCAGAAGAGCCTCTAGAGAACTTGGGAGCCAACCTGGTGTTCCTGCCTCTGTGTCCTTGTCCCAATCCTGACACCCTAACCTGTGGCCTCTATGTGCAGAAGGAAGTTCTCAGGCAGAGCTTGGTCTCTGGAATTGCTTCTTTGGGAAAAACACAACATGGGCTATTTATGAAGCAAGCACTCAGGTCTATTTCGATCCAAGAACGGGGATGGCTGCCCTTGTACAATCGGAACTAGGTCACCAAGTAATCTCATTGGAATCACAAGAAATACAGCTGGGAAGAACAGCAACCCAGGAAAGGAGAGAGAGAGGAGTCCTCACTTCACCACCTGCTAACTACGGGGAAAACTAAAAACACAAGAGAGATGGAGCAACTGGGCTGTGCCTCTTCTTTTCAAATTGCCTATAATCTGGCCACTACATAAAAAGTAAAATTTCTGAGTCCCCCAGTTCTTGCTTTGGCTGATGGTAGTTATGGAAACCAGCAGAGGTGTCAAATCCTAGCCCTTAGCTTGTGTGTCAGATAATGATCTGAAGTTATTCGGATCTGAGCTTTTCAAAAACAGAAACTCTCTTTAACCTGGATAAACAGGCTTCAGAGTTCTTTCTCAAGGCCAGGCGTGTTGGTGCACTTCGAAAGCAGAGACAGGGGTATCACTGCAAGTTCCTGGCCAGTCTTGACTATACATTGAGTTCAAGACCAACCTGAATCAAAATCAAAACAAAAACAAAAACAAAATTCTTTCTCAAACTTTTGCCTGGCTTGTAAATATTTCTGTTTCTCTTCTCTCATTACACAAAATGAACTAAGAACTGGTTCTGGCCATGTCCTTAATGTGCTCCATTCAGCCTCTTTTTGGTTGCCAAGGCAGAAAAATTAATCATGAAGATCAGGTAAGAGAAGTAAAAAACAAATGGGAGAGGAGTTCATTAGCTTATTAGCTTATGTCTGGCTGGTGGGTTCTTCTTTGAGCCCAGAAAGAATTACACAGCAGAGTCAACAGAGACATGAGCAAAAGCATTTGCCTACTGGACAGTGAAAGCAGGAAGTTCCTCAGTAGCGGGAGGGGACCTGAATGGGTTGTCATGGGGACAAAGCGGGTGTGGGGGGGTCATATACAAAAATGACCACATCTCAGGCCACTTTGGGGCACGTTGAAGTCAACCGATGGGGTTATACGTGGGAAACTTTGACTAGAAGTGAGACTACAGGAACTTGGAATATTGTAACCTTTCTAAAATTATCAGCACAAGCAGAACAAAGGCACTCTTCAGCAGGGTGTGAATAGAGGCTTGGTGGTACTGGCTATCACCTTGCTTTTGTCACACTCGTGGACAGGAGGACCCCACTACTTTTATTTGGGTCCCTTGTTCCTTGGGCCACTGGGGCCTGGCTGTTTGACAGCCCTCAACCCCAGGCTTCAACTTACCTTGGCCTTCACTGGGTCATCCATCCTGACTCCCTCTGGCCTTGGCTCTTCTCTGGCTGTCTTCTGGCCTGCTGAGCTCCCTCTGCTTGGAACACGTCCTTCGCCTCTCACTCCGGAAAGTCTTCTCATCTTCCCACAGGACCTGCTCGTCCTCATCATTTTCTAATACACACGTTTTTATGGAAAATGATTTTTTAAAATTACTATTGTGTGCTTCCTCTCGGGGAAATGATACCTAAGCCTTAAGAAAATGAAACCTAAGCCCAGTCTGGCGCGCTGGGAGGACTCGCAGTTCATCTTCCCCAGGTCGTCCGCCATTCCCGTTTCTTATTCAAACCGCAGCAATGACGCAGAGGAAGAGCGCCCAGCCCGCGGTCTGTCCCAGATTGTGCAGCTGCCCGACAGGTGGAGGAGGTTCCACCTGGACAGCATGAAACCTTTCAAACCCTGTAACTGCCCGTGAAGGCACAGGGAGAGCTGAGACAGTAAACTCAGCAGCTGGGAATTCCTCAGAGAAACAAACGCCACCTGTTCAGTGTTTGCAGACAACGTCTTTCCTCCTATTTCAGGTCCCCAGACAACGGCGAGCTACCCGGAAGGTCCCTAGAAGTCACTCCCTGCCAAGCCAACAGCTAGAGCCATAAAGGTTTCCACCTCCCTCAGAATCATTTTCTCCCTGCCAGACCCTGGCCCCTTTGGTAGGGTAGCCATACATCCCGGTTTGCGGGGGCCACCCCGTTTTCCATCTACTTTCAGGTGTAATTATAAGAGGTTCCTTATTGGCTCCAAAGTGTCTGGGTTTGTGTGATAAATTTCGGGTCCTCAGGGCCGGGGAATTGGCACAGTGGTTCCGCCACCTGCCTTGCCTTGCAAGCTCCAAGACCCGAGTTCGACGATCCCCAGTACAAAATAAACAAATAAATGAAAGAAAGAATTTATGAACTTACTGCCTTCCATTGTAATGTCTGGCATTGAATTCGTACTTCCAATAAAAAGGTTTAAAAACAATGCAGATGATACTCATTTTTTAAAAAATTAAGGTTCCTTTGACCTTTTACTCACAGCTCGCCCTCTAGTGGTAAGGTTGGCTCATTGCATGTATCCCACAGCCCTGGACTGGGGACCCCAGCGGTAGGGGTAATAGCTGAGATTACCTGCAGAGATGTGAGGGACAGGAGAAGGGAAGAGAGGAAATGCTCACTTGGGAAATGGACCTAGAGCATACTTCCCAGAAGAGGTCTCTCTTTGGGAGTCCCTCAGCCCCCAGGAGGACGTCATGATTGTTAATAAACACCTGCTGGGAAGGCAAGGCACCTAACACAAAGGCAAACAGCCAGGTTCCCAGCCCTCCAGGAGGTTTTATTTAGCTGAGACACAGAAACATAGTGCAACACAGTGCTTGGCACATGCTCATTGGACCGTTAGTTCATTCTAACATCTATTGAAATGTCCCAGGTAGTGCTGGGGATGCCCAGTTCTGAGCTGTACACAGTAGGGGTGGGAGGTACTGTACTTTAGAATGGTGGTGGGTTCCCTGGATCAGTGGCACTCAGTTTTCCATTCCTGTAATAAATACCTGAGGTAAATCAACCTAAAAAGAGCTAAGGTTTATTTTGGGTCACCATCTCAGAGGTTTCAGTCCATGAATAATTGGCCCTGTTGCAGCACAGCACATCAAGGCAGGAGCTTGTGGTGGAAGATACCAGTTCACCTTGGGGAAACTACAAGTGAGAAAGAGGAAGAGAGTGCTGGCCTCCTAATATCCCCCTCAAGGACCTGGCCCCAGTGACACACAGACTTCCTGGTGGTCCTCCCTCTTCAAGCTTCTACCACCTTCCAACACTGCCAACCTGGGAACCAAGCCTTTAACACACAGGCTTTTGAAGGACGCCCAAGATCCAACCTGTAACAGGATCTTTGTTACTTACTTTCCTCTTGTTAGTGAGACAAAATACCCAACACCCAAAGTTAAAGGGGAAAGGTTTTGTTTATTTGTTTGTTTGTTTGTTTGAGACAGGGTCTCACTATGTAGTTGAGACTGCCCTGGAACTCACTATGTAGCCCAGGCTCACAGTGATCCTCCTGCCTCAGCCTCCTGAGTGCTGGGATTACAGGCGTGCGCCACCATGCCCAGCTGGGAAAGGGTTTGTTTAGCTCCCAGTTTGTAGAGTTTTCAGTCTGTAATTGGCTGGATTCCAGGCAGAGTGGCACATGGCAGAGGGGCATCACTGAGGAGAAACCCATTCATGGCACCCATACAGCAACAAAAGAAACAAGGGGACCTTAACAGTGTCTTTCTGCCCCTTTTATCTTATCCAGGCTACTGGGATTAGGGCGGAGCCAAACCAATCAGTAGACTGGTTTAGTAATCACACACCCTAATCCCAGCATCACTCACACACTCTAGATTCAGCTGCCTCTGACTACATGAGGCTTGCTGGGGGGCATCTAGACCAAACCGTAACACTCTGCCCCAGCCCCCCCAAAGACTCATGGTACGTTCCTTTACACGAAGGGCATTTAGTCCATCTCTAAGTTGCCCAAGTTCTAATAATTTCAGCATTGCTGAAAAGTCGAAGTCCAAAGTCTCTGAGATTTAAGGCAAATTCTTAGCTGCAAGTCCCTGTATAAATGAAAAGAAAGTTAAACGCTTCTAATATTCATTGGCACAAGGCAAACATTTCCATTCCAAAGGTCACAAATGGGAATAGCAAGGAATGGGAAGAAAGCAAGACCCAAATCCAGCAGGGCGAACATTAAATCCCACAGTTCTACTTTCAGCGTCCTGGGCAATTGATGGCAGGTTTCGAGCTCCAAAGGGCTTGGGTGGCTCCACCCCAACAGCACTTCCAGTGGTTGTAGCTCCCGTGGCTTCTCTCTGGGGAGAGCTCTGCACCCTCCTTGCAGTTTTCCTCAGAAAATCCACGTCCTGTCTTCTCTGGACTTCTGGAGTCTCCACGGCACCTTCAGCTTCACACGCTGCCCTCTCAGGGGCGCCCTGCCCAGCCTCCCAGGCCTTCTTCTGAAATCTGGGTGGAAGCCTTCCTGACCCCACAACTCTTGCATTCTTCATGCGCCTAAAACCAATGCCATGTGGATGATGCCAGGTTCTGCTGCCAGATAGAGCAGTGGCCAGGTTTCCTCCACTCTTGGCTGTAGGGGCCAAGTGCCTATGAACCAAATCTTGAGGAATAGCATCCCTGGGTCACCTCCATTCTGGAATATGGTGCTCTGATGTAAGACTTGAATTACAAGCCCATGCTAAAGGACAAAGGGCCTAGGAGACAGTGCTCTAACCCCCTCCCATTGTAGCCATAGCCCCGACCTTTGTTCTAACCCTGGCTTACGAATGTAAGGCAATCTTGTACTGTTTGAAGTCGGGATCCGGATTAACGTGTAAGTTAGTGGTTCTAGACTATGAGATATGTAGAGACCCCAAGTTAGTTGTCAAACTGTTTGCTCATCCAGAATGTCTTGGTGGCCTTTGAACCATCCTATAGGTATCTGTTACTCATCAATATGTGACTGCCGAGTACGTGGCTGCTGACCACCAGCTCAAATCAGCAGACCTTTGTCCCCTGCCTGCAAGCCTAAAATGTTACCCCTCTATAAAAAGGACCTCAGCTTCTGAGCTGGCGCCTCTCCGAGCCAGCTACTTTGTTCTGAGAGTGCCGTCTGGCCGGACTAATAAAGGTCTGTTTACCATCTAGCCTGGTGTGTTCCTTCCTGGGTTTCTCATTCTCCGTCGAGCTCCCGGAGCCTCGCTGAACTATAGGTCCCAGCATCATGGAGGCCCTTTCTGCTGTTCACGGCTTTCGGAAGTAAGGCCCTGGGTCTTGCCTCCGGAGCCATCGTTGGACTACAGGACTCAGCATCGTGGAGGCCTTTTGGCTGTTCGTGCTCGGTGGAGTGGAAGTGAGACTTGGAGTCTTGCACTGGGGCTCTCTTCTCCAAGCAGTCTTTCACTTTTGCAATTTTGAAACTACAAAGGGTGGAGTCCTGCTGTGATGCCCTCAAGCCATCTTTTCCGCTGTACTAAATCCCCAGCCCAAGGTTACTTTTTTTTGAGAGCCCCCTCCAATGGGAAGTAAATTCCACTTACAGAATGCGATTTAAAGCAGTTTCGTTTTACTTGCTATGTTGGGAATTCTGTGAAAGCTCAGAGTAAAAGAGAAATCAGGCTTGCGATTTGTTTCCATGATGTTTGAGATGTGAATTAAGCACGAAAGGATGAGTTTCCTGGTGGGCCTCCCACTGATCTGACTTTATGAGAGCAGAGAGTCAATGTCCCTCACAAGTAGGGCTGGAGCCCAGCCAAAGAGCCCCAAACAGCATCAATCCCAAGAGCCAGAAGGAGCAAACAACAGGAGTAGGATCCACTGAGCATGTGGCCCAAAAGGCAGACCCTGCCCAGAATCGAAGCCCAGAGAATATGAGCCTTTCTGGGACACGCAGGAGGGAGACAGACCCACCTGCCTCAGCTCTTCTACCATGCACTTTGCTTTTGAGACCCACAGAAGCAGCTTAAAAAAACTCCGTCAAACTTAAATTCTGAGGGTGTTACTACCATTCCATGTCCTCTCCACCCTTCTCTCTGCTGTCTCCCCTTCCATCTCAAGACAACGAGGAAATAGCACTGAAGACCCAGAAACCCAGCTTCCCCTGCAGATTGACCCTCAGGTATAGGAGGAGTAGGAACAAATGCAAGTTCCAATAGTGTGATCATTTAAAAAAATTTTTTTTTGTCTCTATCCCTCATTGGCAGAGAGAGGAAGCGAGTCGGGCTCTAGCTAGCAGGGTTTTCCTGGTGTGAGATGCGGCAGTTTCTGCACTTTAGTTTGAGGATTCGCAGTGTTTCTTCTAAGTCTCTTCAGCATGAGGTCCACCTCGTAAGACTCCAGGTGCCAGCTCCTCCCCTAGCCGGAGGGTTCCTCTGAGCCTTACCTGCTGTGGCACCAGCCCTCCTCGGGCAGGGCACAAGGGGCACATGCTTTCTTAGTGCAAGGAAAGCTGGCTCGGGGACACAGGCCGTGCCTTTGGTTGAAGAGCTCGGGCCCAGCTGGCCCTGAGCGCCTGGCTGCAGCCAGCCCGGGAGATGCCACGCATTGATAAGACAGCACCGGTAATTCTGCTGACAACTTATTAGGGGTTATGGAAAATAATGCTTACTTCCTCATCACCATTAGTAGGTGGGAGGAATGTCGCTGAGGAAGACAGCAGAGACTCCCCATGCCTGGCTTCTGACTGGTTTGGCTGTCTTTGGGAAAATGCAGAAGCAACTGTTGAAAACAGGCCCCGCACTCTTTCCAGCCCCAGCTCGCAGCCTCCCCTCCCC